TGTAGGGAAGGTGTGATACGTAGGGGAAGAACAAAAAGGGAAAAGAAAAAAATGTGAGAGAATGAAAAGATGAAAATAAAGTGTTTGTAGATGGGGAGGGGAGGAGGGGGTGAAGGGAGGGCAGAGGTAAGGGGAAAAAAATGAGAATCAAGACTTGCCATGTAAAGGTACATGATCCCAACAATGAATGTAACTGTACTGTATCCCTAAATGTACCAATAAACTCAATAAAAAAAAAAATAATAAAGTAAACTTTGTTCTCTTCCTTAGTTTAGTTTTTAAAAATAGGAAATACATTCTCACAGTTTTTATTACAGTGAAAGTTCTCACTCATGTCTGATATCCTCTCTGAATTTTCTTAATTATGTTTAGGAGTATAATATCAGAATCTTTATGGAAATATATGCAAATATGATTCATAAATATGAAAATATAAATATTCTTACTCCCAACTCCTTTTATCTACACCCTCTGTACCACATCTTAACTATTAGATGATACATTTTAGAGGACATTTTCTATTAGGCTATTGAACATGTTTTCATTCTTTTGTGTTTTGTTGTGCAGATGGATAGTGTTCCATTATGTAGATGTATCTATAATTTCATGAACTAGTTTCCTAGTGATGGAAATTTGATTTGTTTTTAATTTTAGGCTAACTGCTCAGTAGTGGATGTCATATGCATTTATCCATTTACCCGTGAACAAGATCTATATTGTTAAATTCCAAGAGTAAAACTGCTACGTTTATAATTTAGATACACTTTGCCAAATTGTCCTGCAGAATGACTTTACCAGTGTCTTTTCCCACCAGCAACATGTGACACTGCTTTTTTCCCACAACCGTGTCAACTGATGGTATCACCTAAACTCATGAATTGAACAGGCAAAAGTAGTATTTCGATGAGGTTTACATTGCATTTCTCTTACTTTGAATGAACTTGAATATCTTCTCACACGTTTAAGAGCTATTTGAATTTCTGAGTTTCTTAATCTCTCTGACACACTCCCTCTTCTAGTAAAAGAGAAAAAGACCAACATCTAACTTGTGGAATTGAAGAGAAAACCTTAGAAAGGATCTAATATGTTGGTTAGCAGCATCAAGCATTCAATTAGTGGGAGTGCTGCTGTTGTTATGATTGTTGTTGTTATTAGGGGAAGTCCCCTGGGTGAATATGGGGTAATTCAAAGACTGGTTTGGATAAGAAACCACTCCATACGTCCCCTTGCAAGTTGTGCTGATGATATTTCACCCCCACACACCTAGGACCATAGCAAACCTGCCTTGAACCCTCAAAAAGTGATGTGAACCTTGATGACTCACTTGTCCATAGTTGTTGGTATTATAGGTGCATAGTCCCACATCATTTCCTCTGCGGCAATGAAGTACTCCCATCTCTTGATGTACCGCCTCTGTTCGCGGGTTAGTTTCGTAGTAGTCCTGGTTTTCTTTGGACAGTTTGTAATATCAATATGAGCCTGCATCCCAGCTAAATTAGGATTGAAACACCGTGAGACAGTGTAAGACCAGAAATTATTGTTGATCAGAATTCATATTTTTTACAAGCAATTTAGAAACATTTAAAAATAACAGTGAAAGGAATGCTCAGGCAACTTTTGAACTTTTGCTGACATGATACCACATAACCCTTGCTGATTTTTTCCTCTCTTGACTTATCTCACCTCCTCCGGAGCCCACCCCTGTGAAGCCAGGTTTGACTCATTCAGCACATTGTGGAAGCCAAGAGTTTTCATGTTAAAACTTTTACACTCTTGGTAACAGTGCTTTTGTAAGTTTGCAGATCATAACTCTGTTCTAGCCTCTAGATTTCTTCCTTTGGGTACGTATGACACACCCTCAAGGAAGAATACCTCTGTGTGCATTTTCTTCCTCTTCCTCCTTTCAAGGAAGTAGAAACCTCTTCAGCTTTTGCTTAATTTTAAAAAATCTGTGTCACACTGCCCTGCCTTCCTTTATCCTCAATCAGTGAGTTTTAAATCTAAGAACAGAATACCTAAAGTCTGCTGTTAAGAACCAAAGCGAGTATGTCTGGGGTGGGATGGCTTGAATGAACAAAGGAGGAGGGGATCTGTGTGGGAAGAAAGAAGGAAGCAAGACTGTAAGAAGAGTTTCTTACCTTGAAACTGCCTAGGGATGAGTGAAGATATGGTCCACTTTCCCTCTGGGCTCGCGGTCATGTTGGCAGTGGTGGCTGTAGCACTGACCAATGTGATAGTGGAAACTTTATGATGCTTCTGCTCTAGGACCTGGCCGTTGAAGTGGATGGAGAACAGTTCTGGCTCAGAGCTCATTCCAATCAGATGCCAGCTGATGTGGTCGTAAGCACAGACTGTGAGAGCTGAGAGACAGGCAGGGAGAGACAGCAGTCCGTTCAGTGCTCTGTGTTCAAAATGTCACTCGCCAGAATGTGTAAGGTTCAGAGTGGGGAGGGACAGGTGTTTCCATCGTTATTCCTCTTCTGCAAAAGCAGACGTCTGAGTGACGGACAAACAGGCAGCCATAGCTCATTGTACTTTGTGGCACTGCAGAGGTAACAAGCAAGCCAGCGGGGGGCACTGATTCGGGGTACAGGATTTCTAAGGGATTAAGCCAAGGAAGGGACTGAGCAGGTAACCAATCTGTTGGCCCTGGAATGAGGGGTATCCCAGGATACAGGAATTCCAGTGTCAGCACTTATAAAGTTCTGGGGAAAATGGGGTGGCTGCTCGCACACCAGTCTGTGTTAGTTGAAAGAATCAGCAGAATGCCATTCCCTCACTTGGTTAGAGATCAGACCTCTGCTTACAGGGAAGGTGTTGAGATCATCTAAGGATCTTCTCTTGCTTAATACTTTGTCCTTGTTTTAATAATGAGGTGATGAATTATGTGGGTTACATGCTTTGCTTAAAACACGGTGAAGTGTTCTCATTACACTGGGCTGCTGGGAGCTTTCCACTGCAGGAGTAATGAGAACTGAAGACAAAAGCCTAGTTTTGCGCTTTCTTTTCACCCACAGTAACTCGGAAAATGCTCCTTTGTTCTGTAGGGGATTCCAGTCCTGGCTTATGTCCCTGGTTAACTTTGTAAATTTCAGGTCCACAATCACCAGATGTTAGATAATAGAGCCGAGATCCAACTCCTTGCCCATGGAGAAACTTGGCTTTGTTAGGAGACCTTGTAACAAGGCAAGGATTGCTGGCATCGCTCATGAGGGCAAGAAGCAAGAAGGCAGGAGGCTTTGGTGGGAGCTTTCATTTCTCTGATCTGCATATTTATATGGATTTTACATTCTGCCAGGACACAGAGGGTTAAAGGATAGGTGGTTAATTCATTTTTTTCAGCACCTTGAGATGACTCATTAACACTAAGGTGGGGAAGTGAGTGAGATGTGAATACAGATCTTCCAAAGGAGAGGTCCGTTAATTAAGCCCTAGCTTTGCAAGCTTCTTTAGTAATCTATCTGGAAGATGGCAATGAAGCAGAATATAATTTAAAATCAATTCTGAGACCTCAACTTCACAGATGAAGCCATTTGTGATATGCAGACATAAAGAATGGTCTTTAGAAATTGAGCATTTTGAAATGTAGAAATATGTTCCTTTTTTTCCCTCAGCCTGGTTTCTAAATGCCATGGACCTTTAGTTCTAAGTGGGTTCTACCGGGAAGTAGAAGAGGTAGTCCAGGAAGGTTCTGTGGTTTGGATATGGTTACATTGTATCCCTACAGGTCCATGTGCTGAAGGATTGGTCACCCTGTGGTGGTGTAGAGTTCATAAGGTGGAGTTTAACAGAGATGGAGCCTAGTGGAAGAAAGTTCCTCACTGTGGGTGCTGCCCTTGGAAGAGAGTAAAGATAGTTCTCGCAGGACTCTGATTAGTTCTCACAAGAGTGAGCTGCTATAAAGCGAGCCTACCCATGTGCTTAGCCTCTCCTCTATGTAGCCATTTCCTTTTCTGCTTCTCCTCCATGTTGTTACACATCTGAGGGCTGTCCAATCTTGGACTTTCTTGGAAGCATTGGTGGTATAGTGGTTAGCATAGCTGCCTTCCAATCTTGCACTTTCAGTTTCTAAAACAGTGAGCTAAGTAAAACTTCTTTTCTTTATAAAGTGTCCTGGTTCAGTCAATTTGTTACAGCAACAGAAGATGGGCTTATTCAGTGGAAGATGGGTCTTTCTCCACCTAGTAGTTACTATGTTTTTATTTTCTTCTAATCTGTATACAGACAAGAAGAGAAAACATTCCACATGCCATTGAATATTATTCATCCATCGACTTTTGAAATGTTAATAGTATATTTTTATGTTAGGGATTTCTCCCAACCTTGCAAGTGTCTTTATTACCTTATTTCTCCTGACCCTCACTGCTAGGGAGTGCCCTTGAACTACAGTATAAGCAGTCGATTATTATGCAGCTAGGACCACAGATTTCACTAAGGGATGGACTGATATCCTGGGAATCTCCCTGGAGGTTCAAGCCAAGGTAAAACCTTTTCAGAGAATTACACTTACTGAAGCTTCACATTCTTAATTCAATTTGATGGTTGTACTTTCTGGTTAAAAAAATGGTAACCCTTTGAGAACCATTGCCCTCTATTCTATAACATTCTAACTAAGAGTTGAAAAATAGTGAATGGGATCAACTTCTCTGATCCTTTGAGGAAAACAATGGAGAGGCAAGGTAGTAGTGATTCTACTATTGTTGAAGGGCATGGGGCCCATGTGTTACCTGGCATTGTTTTATTCACATAACCATTGACCGTGTACATCAGAGACGGTGATGGGTTCCAGCTCTTGCTTTCATCAAACACAGCAAACAACAGCACATGTTGCTTGTCATACATCTTCTGAGTCCCATCCTCTGTTAGGGTGCCTGAGAAAGAAAGACATATTTCATATGGCATCCTACACTGAAGACTTGTTAGCTTTCCAAGATAGCAAAGAGCTTTAGGGCAAGGAACTAATCATAATGACATAAACTCTGAGCAGTCCTTATTTTAAAAAATAGCACCCTTATCAAGTAATAATGGTTGAGAGCTATTAAATTTCTGTGGGTCCATCATTTTCTTTGGTACTTTGTAGATTTGGGGAACAGAGATTTAAGGGTAAACTTCACCTGGCACAGAAAGAAAGTATTTGGTGATTGCCAGGAGTCTGTAAAAGAATCTTTTTCTTCAGTCTTACTAGGCCAAATGTGTGTACCTTAGCTCAGGTGTTAGAAGCATCACACCCTAATGAAATGGAGCCCTGGAAAACTGGTTGTGAGTATCAGAATTAGCCCATTTTCACCTGAGGGGAAAATGCTGGTAAGGGTAAAATAGGAGAGCTTTTCATAAGTTCAAAATTTTTTTCAGTGCTTTCACAGTATCTTTTATATACCAGGCAATAAAAATGTACTTGTGTAATGAATAAATGAATTGGGTGTGTATGCAGGTACAGTGTGTGTACAAGTGTGAACAGACAATGAGTCTATCACATTTTTTCTTTCTCATGGTATGGTTTATTGTGATTTTTTGCTTGTTTTAGTGAGAGTGGACTGAATTCTCTTGGGGTAAATTGAAAAATCAAGCCTGTTCCTAAGAAGCCCACTCATTGTAATTTCTTATAAAGTCAGATGCCTTTGGAACCTATCCCCTGAAATGCTCAACTTGTTATAAGAAGGGTAGCTGGAGTTTCATGTTTTTAATAGACCCAGTTACCCCCCCAAACTTTAGCCATGCTAATTATGTTAGCCAGAGTTCTTCCCAAGAAGAAAGCAGAGGATCAGCTGTGGTACACTTTCAGGAAGACTTCAGCCTTGCAGTCAATGTTACAGACCATGCAAGTGAAGTGTGACATCTGGACATGCTCTCAAACAGGCACTTGCATGGGCAAAACTCCCGTGGCTGAGGTGAAGGAGGGATTAGAAGAAACTGAGGATGACTCAAGTCCTAATATGAGGTATTTTTTCCTTGTCAAACAGTGGTGTGGTCTCTGCACCCTTCTCTATCTGCCTGATGGACCACAAGTTTCCAAGATGCTCCCAGATCTCCCCTGCTATCGTGCTCCTTATGGCCTCAGCATCTTTGCTGAAGCAGAATCTTTTCTGATCATTGCTTTTACCTTTCTTACAGATGAGCAGAGGTCCAATCAACCCTGAGTTGAAATCCTCTGTCAGATTCTCATAAGAGTAATAGATATGTGTGAGGCACGGGGGGTCGTCCTGGGTGGGCCCACTGTCCTCACTGATGACCCACTCGTAGGTGTACTCTTGGCCCGGTGCCACCGCATCATCCATTTTCTCCAGAGGGGATGTGTGGTCCGTATAAGAAGCACCTGGAGGAGCAAAAACCATGAGGACATCTGGGCACCTTGTGAAGGCTACTTTTTCATCACTCTCCATCTGAGGAACCCGAGACGAGTTTGCTGGAGAGTATATACCTTTCCATAGTGAACCTTCGTCGGAAAGACTTCGTCTGTGGTATGATCAACAGATACCGTGAATGTTTAAAATATCAAACACTGTTACCATAAGAGCCACACTGCCATTAATCCCTCTCAGAGTTCTCGCCTTCACCTCAGACACACTTCATTCCGTCGTTCTTGCCGCTTTCCGAAGCGGTTCTGCAGTCCTCTTTGCTGAGTGTCTTTATTGCACTGCTGTGCCTGCCTCGATGTCCTGAATCCATTCAAAACATTTACCTTTCGTGGCCCCTTTTGACTTTGGGGAAGAGCCCCAAGTCACATAGTGCCAGATCCGTTAGGGAGGATAAAGACACACTACCATGTTTTTATTTGACATAAGTTCCAGATATGTGGAAAGGGGTTATGTATACATTAAAACTACTAAGCCAGTCTTGGTCAAGCAGTTTTACTTTTGGAGGCGAGAAGTACTTTGAATACAGGTCCTGCTGCTTCCTCTAGTGCTCTAAAGCACTGGTTTATGTTAAGATGGCAACGTGGAACCACAATCACTACACTCTGATTAGAACAAAAGCAAGGGCAAGGCTGTGCCTGCTTTTATGTTTTGTGGGGTTGGTTTTGTTGTTGTTTACAACTATGTTCTATAGAACAGAGTAAAATTTATAATTGTTCTACAACTGAAAACATAACCATTGTTTATTTTGCATTTGCAATGAAGTAGCAGCTAAACTTTTAAAAACAAAATTAAAAGTTTTTATAACTGCACCGAGAGTTTACTCCAAGAGAATAAAATAGGGGCTTCAAAGTTCCTGAATTTTCTGGGGGACAGTGTAAAATTAAACAGAGTATACAGTGGACCCTTGACTCACAAACTCACTTAGTTCCCGAGGGTTGGTGGTAAGTTAGTACCGCTGAGATCTGGATGTTTCCCTGGGTACCCGCTATAAATAACAAGATGCAGATGAATCTTCCATTAGCCTAATTAACCCAAGTCATCCATATGTCAGGCCACTAGTAACTTCAGGGGCCACTGTATTCTCTTATGAATAGGGCCAAAACATGCAGATAATTCTTATGCAAGTGAGATCAAGTGGTAGTCATTTGCTATTTTACCAGTACTGAAGTAAATGTATTTAACAGCATACTCCAATCAAACCTAACTTCTTTTCTTTTCCTAAAAGGATGTTTTGCTTGGCATAGAATAACTGGACAGATCCCCCCAACAATTTAGATGTGTCCTTCTTTGTCTCCTGACTTGCATTGTTTGGAATGTCTACTACAATTTTGTATTTTTGTTCCTCTGTATACAATATATATTTTTCTCTACTTTTAATACTTTCTCTTTAGTATTATTTTTTGGCAACCTGAGTGTGATGTGCTTTGGTGTGCTTTTGTCTGGCCCTTTGAAATCTGTAGGTCTTCATCATATTTGGAAAGTTTTCAGCTGTTATTTCTTTAAATAATTTTGCTGTCCCCACCACTCTGGGATACAATTACACACGTTAAGTCACCTAATGTGTCCCACAGCTAACTGGTGCTCTGTTCATTTGCTCAGCCCCTTTTGAAAATCTCTTTGCTTCATTCTGAATCGTTTCTATTGCCATGTGTTAATATTCTCTAGTGTTTTCTTCTGCAGTGTTTTATCTGCTATTGATTTAATCTAGTGTTCTTTTCATTTCAGCTAAAATTCCATTGATATATTTTATATCTCACATCTCTCCTTTGAGCGTGCTCGTGCTTTATTCTTTGGAACATACAGAGACGATTTATAACAGTTGTCTTATATTTTTACACTGCAGCAATGCCAGCTTCTCTTGTTTAATGGTATCTCCTTCCTTCTCCATCCTCTGAAAATCTTTTCCACTCAGAACAGTGCCCGAATTTGCCTGGGGTCCCTATATGTCTGGGTTCTCCAGGTGGGGTGGGAAACAGGTACATTATGGCATCACTGCCGTGGGACAGTCAGGCGGGACGATCGTATGCATGGCTGTCCATCGTACGCCTCTAAGCATAGAAGCCATAAATTCAAGGGTTGAGTGGATAAATCTAGATTCACTGATGGCACAGAATCCTTAACACAGACCACAGGTGCAGGTATGATTCCCTGTTTCTCTCTCTAGTCTTATGGCATGTGACTCTTTCCACTGAGGCCTGAGTCAGGGCCCCCAACCTGCCAAGTCCCGACTTCCTTCCTGGTCTTTTCAGGTACTGTTCCCACTGTGTAGAGTGCTCTACTTACTGTTCCTGTTGATACATGCATGCTTATCATTCGGGTGTCACCTTAGTGCCAGTTTACCCTTTTCTTTACCTCTGATTCTCCTACATATTTTTCTTCTAGAGTGCTGATTAAGATTTGCAACTAAATGTCTGTGATACTATATGGTTCATTTTCCCACTGGATTATCTGCATTCTGCACATTTGGTTGCCAGAGTGTGAGCCCCCCTCGGAGAAGGTGCAGGACTGCGTTTGTGCTGGTATCTCTGGGGTCTTCCACAGTATGTGGAGAAGCAGGGAGAAGATGCTTGATGGCTGCTTCCTGAACTCCTTAAGGTCCCATGGGCTAGTGCCAAGGCACAGCTTACAGGTGCATTTTGTTCTAGTTGCATGATAATAAAGCGGATTAAATTCCGGCATTAAAAAAAAAATCTGGAAATATTATATAAGAGCCCGAATTTCTGGTTTCTTAAAAAAATTCTTAGAGATCTAATAACATAGCCCAAGCTACTGCCTTGAATTCGGCTGGACCAGTTTTGGCTGTGGTCTTCTGCTTTCTGATCACAGTGTCTACTGGATACAGTTTCTCATTGAGCACCTACCTGGCTACTACGTATATCTGAGTTTGACCCTTATGCTGGTATAGAGCTTAACACTGTACTCTGTTGTGTGTTTTTCCCCTTCAAAATATGATTTGATGCTGATTGAGAATCCGTATTTACCATAGGTGGAACTTTCACCCGTTGATAAATAGGATTGGAGTGTTTAAATTGTCAGGAGCTGAGAAATGATAAAGGTTTAAATAACTTCTGGTGAGTTTATAGGATTATTCCAGTCTGAAAGGAAGAAAGGATGTATGAAGAAGACTGTCAACTGACAAACAGTGAGCTTTATCTCAGGAAAGTTACAGAAGCGCTTCCACAGCAAAGTGCAAACAGACCAGCTAGAGGATGGCCCTCCCAAGTCAAACATTGTGGGAGGACTGCACAGAGCCAGCTGGTCGCTGAGACGCACTGTGGAAGAATCAAACCCACCAGCCCTTCCCCAGGCTTCTAACTGGCAGACGTTTCCCACATCCTTAGAGGCTGGAGGGCTGAGGCCAGGCTTCCTGCATGGTGGGTTTCTTCTGAGCATCCCTTCCGGGTTGCGTTCTTTTCATTGTATGCGCACAGGCAGATAGAGGGTGAGAGAGTTCCTCCTGTGGTCTCTTTTATATGGCACAAACCCATCATGAGGGCTCTGCCTTCATGACCCAACTACTGCCTCTAGGCTCGCGCTTGGTACCCTCCCACGGGGACCAGGACTTCAACACACCACTCTGGTGGAGACGCAAACAGTGAGTCTGTTGCAGTGACAGATCTTTTCTAAAGGTGATTAAACATGGCAATAAGGCAAAGTAACTGTTCACAATCATCAGAAAAAAAAAATTCAAAGCAAAGGGGAAAATAACACATAGTCCCTACTTTCTAATAAGTCCTCAGTCCGTCAGTTTAGCTCAAAATTGATTATCCTCATCCTCATCAGCTCCGGGCCAGGCTCTGAGTCAGGGACCAGGTGCAAATGGAAAGTCAGAGCCTGCACCCCTCGAGCTCAGCACAGTCTACAGTAGGGTACACACGGCTTTTACCAGGGCCACTCAGTGCCAAGGCCACAGAACACACTTTTTCTGGAAGGAGAACTGAGCAATAATCAGTATCTACAAATTACCTAAAATGCCAGAACACTTGGGCTAGATACAGCACTGTGACTGATTTTGAGTGACATCAAACTTTCTTGTAAATGGTCAGTGGCTCACATCCAGATTTCTTTTAATACATGGCAGATTTTAAAAAATTCTCTCTCAGGCCAGGGATTTAGCTTAGCAGCACCATGCCTGCCTTGCAAGCGCAAGGTCCTAACTTTGATCCCCAGTACCAGAAAATTCTCTCTCTCTCTCTCTCTCTCTCTCTCTCTCTCCCTCCCTCCTTCCTTTCTTTCTTTCTGCTTTGTGAATTATCTTATTAGAGAGATAGACTGAGGATCCTAGAGTCAGGTTGCAAGGGTTCAAATCCTTATTCTAACTGTAGCTATGACTTTTGACCTGCTACCTAACTGAGCCTCAGGATCTTCTTCCATTAAATTGGGTATTCCCATAGTCACACAAATCAATGACCATATAATTGGCTACAATAAATTATCCAGAACTTTGTATTTGTCAGTTAAATGCGAGATAAACACCACATAGTTGAACAGATGGTTTACATTATGTTTAAAAGGTAAATTATGGGTACAGTACACTGAAACCAACGATGAACCATACCTGCAAGTGGAACATAGCCTATAATGATGCAGTGAGGACGGCTAATGAGAGCTGGGGGATAATTTTATCAGTGTTTTTGTTTGTTTGTTTTGATACCAGGGATCGAACTCGGGTCCTTGTGCTTGCAAGGCCGGCCACTGAACCACTCAGCTAAATCACCGGCCCTTATCAGTGTTTTCTTTTCACTTCATATTATTTCACCTTTACTCTCAAAGAAACAGGCATGTTGTATCTTTGCTTTTGCAGCCTACATAATGTAAGGTATAAAACAAAATCAGCAGCTGTTGTGAGGACGCATTTGTGAAATGCATTTTTGCTGAATCTGATTTTGATTTTGGAATGAAAATAAAAATTTAAAACTCTAAACTGAAAAAGAGGAGAAATGGCCATGCACGGCTACTGCTTTAAGGCACAAAAAGTCCTTGTTCCACTTCATGCTAGAATAAATGCTTTGCACAGTGGTTGGCCTTCATTTTATATTTACTGAGTTCTGTCCACTTCCTGCTCAGTCCATCGTCAGCTTGGTAGTGTGTTTATACTTGCCCTGCTGTACTAATTATTTGCCAGAGGGCTTTCAGCATTTTAAAAAAATGTAAATGGTGCGTACAAGCTTTGGGACAGTGAAGTTGCAAAAAGAGCCCCTTTGGTTCCCCAGTGGGGTGCTCGTTCATTAAACCCTCCCCTTGTTTTTGTGAATAACTCCTTTCCTCTCCTTTTAATAAACTCAGTGAATGCTTTGGTGTGTTCAGAGCTTTAGAACATTCTTTTAGAAACTATAAGCGAAGGGCAAATGAAAATGCTGATGCTTTGCAAGAAGCCTGATTCCATTGCTAGGGGCACACAAATCTCTTTTGAAGGGAACTTCGCATTTTCATGATTTAGGAATTACTATACTGGCCATTACAGTTTGTTTCAGGCATTTATCATATATTCATTGAAGTTTCTATCTAAATAGAAAATATATAGATGAAAGATAAATATAATCACCTATAGTTTATGAAACACTGGAATGCTTTGGAAAAATTTTAGAAGAGTAAGTTTTCATAGAGGGAATTTAGGAACACTTAGATGCAAGGAGCAATCTCTAGTAAAAAATTTTTTTGAGTTAGAGGTTAGATAACAAGCAGATGGCTAAATATTACAGAACTAATTTTGTGGTGCGATACTCATAACGAAATTCACATATTTAGTACATGAGAGCTCTAAATCAAATGAATACTATTAAGATTTATTACGAAACAAACTTTCTAAAGGTGATGATCAAAATATCTTTGAAAATGATCAAAGCAACTCTGAAAACCTTACTGAATTACAAAATGTTCTCAAGGGTGTGACTTTCAAACAGCTCAGTGCATGCTACTTAGAAAGTTTCAAAAGTTTTGGCCTCAAATTGAAACCCTTCTCATGATAGAAAGCTTTTGAAGAATTCTGTACAGCTATATTTTTACTTCCTGGCTCAAAACTATTGCTATCACATACATTTCTAAAAGAAAGGTAAGCATTTTTATAAATCACAAATTGACCTCTGTCAAAAAGGGTCACCCATCCTTGCCGGATGTGTGATTGTGGTTTCTCAGACTTGTCGTAAAATCTCAGTGCTCTTCCTTTCTCTCTCACATGGTTGCCTCTGAGAAAAAGGAATCTGGATTCTTTTGTAGCTGGCTCATTATGATCTGAGTTTATCCTCATCCCTGAAAAAAGAGTCTTGGAATGTCGAGGGAGGCCAAAGGGAGGGTGGGAGGTAGACATTAAGAAGATGTTTGATTTTTAACATGGAAGGCGTGATAAAATTGTTCACTAGATTTTTCACTGTTTACTAGATTCCCACTTTCAAGATGAAATTTGTCTTTCCTCACCCACCTGCATTTGTTTTTCTTAGATTCATGGGTAGAGAGGCACTGATTTGTGCCAGGAGTCTGGTTCCTAGTGGAAATTGTGGGGGTGTTTTAAGCGATTTTCATCAGTGATTGCTGACGGTGGGGGAACAGAGGGACAAATAAACAGCCAAGGAAGAGGAATGTGTAGCAAGGTCCAGTCACTGTGCAAATAGCCTCGCTGGGGTGCAAAGTCCACAACTCTGACCTCTTCCCCTGTTTGAAATGGAACCTACAAGGGACACTTCGTTTCTTTGAACAAACACTCCCACTCCTGCTCTGCTGTGCTGAATCCCCAGTCCAGCCTTCTGGAAGCTCACACACAGATTGAGAGGTTGTTCACTGTGTCACTGTATGATGTTAGGGACCCAGAGAGACTCCTGTGCGTGCTGCCAAACCCAGGGTCTTGCCTCACCAGCTTCTGAAGATGACTGAGATTTCACAGTTAAGCTTTGTGGTTTTGTCTCACTCCATGAAAATGCTTCTGGGGAAAGTAGTTCACCATAGGCAGTGACCTATCAGTCACTTATACCTTAGAAGAAACGAGTTTGACAGTAATTGACACCGGAAACAATAAATGTGAACACCACTTTCTAACTCACAATTGTCAAATGTTAAATTAGTTGAACACCTTTTGGATTGAAGGATCTTCTATACTATCGTAGCCAATATTTATCCAGGTTTATATGCTAGGTATTTTTCTAAGTTTTCATAACAACAAACCTGGATGAGATATGTACGATTACTGTGTTTGTTTTACAGATGAGAAAGATGAGGCATAGGGAGATTAAGTAACTTTCCAGAAGTCACACAGCTGGTAAGTATCTAAGCCAAGGTTCCTCCTTGTAAATCTTTTCCAGACCCTGCACCATAAAATGCCCTCCAATTCCTCTCTTTGAAGGTATGATGGCTGTAACATGTGGGATGAGGAAAGAGACTTATGAAACATAGAAAGCCTGAAGTTACTTTAAAGTGTTATTACACCATTGACTGTTATAACATGGATACTGTTTTTATACTAGTTCCTGGTAGGACTCGACCCGGCTTACTATGATGTGCATGATAGCATAATGGCAGGAATTAGAGCAGAATAAATGCCAGGTACTTAGTGTCCTGTGGCTGAGTCTGTCACTTAGATCACCATCATCTTCACGGTCACTGACATCATTATCATCACGGAGTCCTCATCATGTACTGAGGAATTGCCAGGCCCAGGACCTCATTTAATCCTCACAGCAACCTTACTGGGTGGGTATTACCATTCCCGTTTTGCAGATGAGAAAACGGAGGCTTAGAAATGTTAAGTTAGAGAAATAGAAAGGATAAAGCTAAAACTTGAATCCGAGTCTGCCTTCCAAGCTTATCTTCTTAACCATTTTGCTATATCTGAAGTAGTATTTAGCATTACTGGGCTGCTACCACCATCACATACTCCAGATTATGTGTCCTCTGTGTGCCATCAGGCTAGTCGCACGTCACGTGTCAGTGTCTGCCTGTTTTTGTAAATGAAGTTTATGGTGACGCATCCATGCTCAGTCCTGAACACGCTCTCTGTGGCTGCTTTTGTGCTAACAGGCAGAGCTGAGTCACTGAAACAGAGAGCCTATGGCCTACAAAGCTGAACGTACATCTGCCTTTTTACAGAAATGTTTGTTGACCTCTTACGCCATCTTGCAATGTATGTATTATTACTCTTTTAAGGTGAACACAAGGGATTTCAGAGAGGTTAGGTAATTTTCCCCACACAGCTATTTGGGAGGGGTGTGTACTGGGAATCGAACTTGGAACCTTGCACTTGTGAGGCAGGTGGCAGCACCACTGAGCTAAATCTCCAGCCCTTCCTGCCCAGCTATTAAAGAACAAGGACCTAATGAAAAGCTCAGGTAGAGCTGGGTCTGGCACTTTTGTTTTCATCTCTGAAACTTACAAAGGCAATGATTTTTATAATTATTGTTTGTAGGAAAGGATATTTCTCTAACAATACATAATTAACATTATCAATTTTAAAGGTTGACAATAGTATTAGAGCTGTACATTTTCTCTTGTCAGAAGGATATTAAATTTCTCTTACCTTCTGAGAATTTACTGTACTTAATTCCTTGAGGATGGATGCTTATGGGTTTGTCTGCCTTATTCTTAAAGTAAACTTTCATGATGTCTCCAACTTCAGCATATAAAGTAGGCCCAAGAAGTCCTATGGGAACAAGAAGTTAAAGTAGTCTGTGTTCAGGATCATCCAAGACAGAGATGCTAAGTCTGAAAAATATTAGGGGAAGACCCCAAAGGGACTGCTGTCATTTCTCCTGGTCTTGACATCAACCTGCTTCTCTAGAATCTAGAAAGCTTTTCAAGTTCATAACTCTAGATGTAGCTATATAAAAACAGGAGGGTGGAACTTGGCCTGGACCCAGAGCAAGTCAAGAGAGGAGAAACAGTTTTGACCAAGTCCAACCCACTCAGATCCACCATCTTTCCTTGGAGACTTCTGTTTTTATTTCTTATAGTACCATTGATTGAACGCAGGGTCTTTGCACTGAGATACATCCCCAGCCCCTTTTGTATTATTTTGAGACAGCGTCTCACTAAGTCACTGAGTTGCCCAAGCTGAGCTCTAACTTGCAGTCCTCCTGCCTCAGTCCCCTGAGTGCTAGGGTCACAGGTGTGTACCCCAATGCCTGGCCAAAACTACTGTCTTTGGTCAAGAAAAGAAAGGTCCTTTTCAACTACATGGGGAATGTAAGCTAGGGGCTACTGTAGATTTCTCTGAAGTAGGTGAAACCTCAGAGACCTGAATGAAGGAAAGGGGAAAATCACACAGTTCTCTAGCTTTGGGGCAGGTTCAGAATCCCTGAATCGGAAGTGCGCTTAATGTATCTGAGGAACAATAAGGAAAACAGCATAGGAAGGACGAGAAGAGGTGAGGTGGGTAGTGGTGGGGTTCGGATCCTGTGAGGCCCCATGGGCCAGTGGATTTTCTTCTACATAAAATGGCAAAGCACTGGAGCTTTCTACAGCAGAGATATGGTCGGATGGGTATAAAATTTTTTTCTTTAAGGCAAAGTTCATGCTAGCTGCAGTGTAGATAGCAGTCTGTGTGGTGAAAAGAATGAGTGCAGAGATCGGGAAGTAGAGGAGAGAGACAGTGGTATATTGGGCCAGTAGTATCAGGGAAGTGATAGAAGCATTCAGTGGCCATATTTGAAGGTAAAGCCCACAAGGTTTTCTGATGGATTCTATGTGCTACGTGAGAGGAGAGTTCAGGGATGACCTGGAGGTTTTGAACTGAGTAACTGGGTGTTACGGCTTGTGTTTAGTGATAGGTGGCTTTTTCAGAAGTGGCTGAATCTAGAATGTGTGATGCTGGGATTAGGGTGTGTGGTTACCAAACCAGGACACTGGTTTGGCACTGCCCTAATCCTGGTAATCTGTTAAGGTTCCCTTGTTGCCTTTGCTACTGTGTGGTTGCCATGAACTGTTTCTCCTCTGTAACGCCTCTCTGCCGTGTGCCACCCTACCTTGAAGACAGCTGATTATGGACTGAAGCCTTTATAAACTGTGAGATAACTATACCTTTTCCCCTTTAACTTTGGGTGTCAGGTATTTTGGCTCAACAACAGAAGAAAAGTAGGACAGTGGGCAAACAGTGTTATTTGTTACTGTGATGAGGAGCACATAGGGCAGAAGGTTAAGGGTGCAGACCTCAAGAATGAGTTTTACTTGTTGCAGGCTAGGCACTGTGCTAGGTCATGGGGCTTCAGGGATAAATAAGACACAGTGTCTGTCTTCCAGGAGCTCATGAGTAGTGTGGAGGTAGACGGTAGGGCGCACCACTAAGAGAGGGAAGAGGTACATGGGAGTATCCATGTACCCAGGGAATTAACAGAGGTATTGACATCTGTGTCACAGTTCCGAGCTGTCATATACTACAGTTGCCCAAAGTGTAGCCCTCGAAGTCTCCACTTAGAATAACCTAGGATCTTACTGAAATAGAGGATCCCATGAGCACCTCAGCCCAGCTCTGGAGGTGGGGCTTGTGAGCCTGCACTGCAGCATGTGGGCCTTCATGATTCTGGTGTCCTTTAAGGCTTGTGGCTCTTTCATCAAGGCCCTGCCTTGGACAGGTGATGGGAATCAACTGTTCTTACTTCTGGGCCATCCTGAAGCTCTCATGGGATTGGCCTCTGTCTAGTAGGGATCATCGAAGCGGGAAAGGGAAGTTACGACAGGCATGGGCTCAACCCACATTCCTTGGCAGTGGTGGTGATTCCGATAGGACGTCCACTTTCTGTCCTTGAGATACAGTGGAGCACTGTGGACCTAATTATCAATCCCCACAACAAATGTTGGAGATATACATTGAGTTCTTCACATTAAACATGAGGAAACTGGGCCTCAGGGAGTTGAAATACTGTATCTTGCCCAATGTCACATGACTAAAAAGAGGCAAAGCTATAATTTAAACTTAATTCTGTCTGACTATAGATCTTGAGCTTTTAACCATCTTTTTTATACTATACTCCCCTATCTGGTATTCATCCACTCAACAAATATCAAGTTCCCATGTTATCCTAGGGCCAGAATTGTAGTGCCATGTAAAGGAGTAAAATAGGTACACTTCCTGCCTTCATAGATCTTGTAAGATAGTAGAGACAGACTTTAACAAACGATCACACAGATATTTGATTTTTAACTGTAAGCATTATGAAAAAGTACAAAATATCCTGAAAAGTAGTTGATAAAGGGTTTAGTCTGATTATGGAAGTAAAGCGGCGGTCAGGGTGAGGAAGCACTTTGTCTAGGAAGTGATACTTTAACTGAAATCCAAAGGCAGACAGGAAAAGAGGCAGGAAAGATTTCACCAGAGAGTGGTATCAGCATGTGCAAAGGCCTTGATATGGCCTAATCAGGTAACTGACAGATGGTCATGAAGAGCTCAGTAGGCAAGACATGCAGAAGGTAAAGCTCAGGACACTCTGGGAGCCCCAATTGTTCAGGAACATGTTGGCTTTTTGGAGTTTTGCCTTTGACACAATAGCATTTGAAGGCCATTAAAGAGTTTTCAGCAAGGGTACAACATGGCTAGATTTTGGCCTTTAACTCTCCAGCTGCATTTGTGGAGAATGGCCTGGGGAGAAATCCAAGAAGGTGCCCAGGGAAAGCTCTGTAAGAGACACTGGTGAGATGAAGGTCACAGTGGTGGAGATAAGAGAAGGAATTAGACTTCTACTTGGAGATTAAGCTGCAGGACTTAATGATGGCGTGAATTCGAGACGAGGAATGTCAAGTGGCCATGGGTGGCCCATGGGGTTCTGGTGTAGAAGCTGGGGGGTGAAGGTGGACGCAGAACACCGTGGAAGAGTTTTATCTGATGGATGTGGCAGGCAGAGCCGTGTCCTTCCCTGAGGGTCTGTGAGTGAGCTACCTTGTGTGGCCAGGGACTCTGCACACAGGGCTAAGTTAGGGGTCTTGAGATGGAGAGGTGATTCTGGGTAATCTGATGGCCACAATGCAGCTCAAAGGTCATTATAAGAAAGATGCAGAGGATGTCAGAAAGAGATTAGAATATGCCCTCTGCTGGCCTTGAAGGTCGATAAAGGGACTGCAGACCCATACATAGAGGCAGCGTCTAGTAACTGAAACAGACAAGGAAAGGATTCCACTCTTGAGCCCACAGAATGATAGCACCGGCCAACACCTTGATTTTAACAGAGTGAAGTCCACTGTGGACCTCTGACATCTTGATTGTAAGAGGACACAAATTTGCTTTGTTTTAAGGCACTAGGTTTATGGCATTTGGTGACAGCAGCCATGGTAAGCTGGCATCTCTGGTCACCTCTGCCCCTACTCTGCTCTCCCCACCCACTGTTCCTTCTGCTGTTCTCCCAGTCCAGGAGTTCACACTGTTCTTTGCCCAGAGCCTTTTGTTTGTCTGGATGTGAGCTCTGCACAGTGATGTCATGGAGATCACAAGTTCAAGTTCAAGTTCAACTCTTACATTTGAACTAGTTAACGAAACCTGGAAGTGGGGTGAAGGAACAGTGGCTCACCGCAGGTCAGTCAGTGACTTGGTGGCATTTCTGGGAGTGAAACCCAATTCTCTGGACTTCTGAGCCAGAGCTTTTCCTACCACCTCCCACAGAACAGGTTTAGACCTCACTGTCCAACAGGAGTGCAAAGTCGTCCCCTGTCTTGGCTGCTGACCATGTGTGACTCCACTGGCTGACCCTGCTACTTGCATCTTGGCTGCTCACGGTGGCCTCCCTAGCCATCTTCCCACCAGAGTGCCCATGAGCCCAGTCTGTGCTGACCATGCTGTCACTGTGGGCACTGCATTTGCCACCATGGATCCTTTGTTTGGCTGTTTCAGTGAGTGGCGTCACATGGCTGCAAATGCCAGATGCTCAGAACAGGTCTCCTAGAGACCTCTTACTTTAGTGGACAATTTGGGGTATTTATTCAGCCTCCCTTCCTGCTTCTTCAGCATTAAGGGAAAACTAAAAGATGTTTTCATTCAAATATAAGTAGGCAAACGTGGCTGAATGTTTCTTGAGCTGCGTGCTCTTTAGCTTCCCCCTCAGCTGGATGGCCTAGGCCTTTCCCACCTTCTCAGTGCCCAGGGCTGGGGGAGTGGGTAGTCCTCTGTAGGGCACAAGGAAAGAAGCACACAGCCTGCAGGTGCGGAGTTGGAAAGGACCGCAGGAGGTCAGCTAATCCAGCCCTCTGCTCCAGCTGAGGGGTGAATTACAGGGCCACAGGGCAGCCCAGAATGGACATTATCATACCTTAGCACACCAGAAACAAATATATTCTAGGATACCAAGGATTTGACAGGATGGTACTGTTTAAAGTGAAAGAAGCATTTGAACATAAATCTAAGGCTATTCTTACCAACCCTCAAGGTCTACTTTTGATTACTAAGGTTAAATCAGGAAATCACTACACATGTTCATCGTCCAGAAGGATTTCCACCCGGGCACTCTCCTCTTCAAAAACCATACACGCCTCCTTATTGCTTTAAGGTAGCGATGGCGAACCTTTTAGAACTTGCAGTGATCCAGCCTGCTGTGGCACACGTGCCATAGGCTCACCACCACTGCTTTCAGTTCTCCAGCCTGGCATTTGTCCTCTCTTTCATTTGTGGCACTTACTGCAATGCTTTACCAAGCAGTGGCATTAAAACTTGGTTATTTTGGAAAAAGGCAGAGCTTCAGATGGTTCCCAATTCCTGTCTTCTAGGCCTAGTGAATACATTTCCCACTTATAATGTAGTTAAACAGTCCTTAAGTATCTGTTACACACATTGTGCTGGGGGCTGCTGTATGAAACCCAGGAGATCTTTCCACTTTCTGCCCACAGCCACAAATGTAATTTTGTGGGCAAGCTTACTGCCCCTCCCTCACCCAGAGGAGGCTTTGAAAGCCAGTGCCACAGCTTTCTGCTGCCTCTGAATCTAGCTCCATTAGTTAGGTTTCCTCAGATGTCTTTATCTTTTCCTTCTCCGTTAAGTTCTTCCAGGGGCCGGCCATTTAGCTTAGTGGTGCTGCCATGCCTCACAAAGGGAAGGTCCCGAGTTTGATCCCCAAAGACAAGTGCTTCCATTAAGTTCTTCCTTTGGACATTAACTTTCCGTAGAACTCCGAAATATCCTTAAATCCTTCCTTCCCCTCCACAGCCACTGTCTTTCCTCCTGTGTGGAGCCAGGTTTCTGGAACCAATTAACTATAAGTTCCTTCTGCTTCTGGTTCCTCGCTTTCCGTTCATCCTTAAGCCCCTTCCTTCATATGATCTTGCCCCACCTTTTCATGACAAAAGACAGCCTTTCAGTCCCTGGAGCCATTGCGTCTCTAGCTGTCCTCCGCTCTCTCTGGGCAGATGTGCTCCAGCTCCTTGGTGAACCTTTCTTTCTTGGCTCATCCCCTGGACTTTGTTGCTTGTTTGAGCTCTGCCTGTAGCCCTCTCTTCTGTGCTTCCTGGCTGATCTCCTCACACCCTCTGGAACTTCATTTAACATCTGGTATTGGGGTTCTGATGCCTCCCCAATATTTATATCTAGCTCAGGATTCCTCTCCTAAAGGCCACAAATTTACACCACCAGCTCATCTGACCTTGCTAGGTATATATTCTACAGACACCTCACACTCCAAATCTGAACATATTTTTCCTCACACTCGTTTCTAAATTTTCTGTTTTACTGAATGGCACCATATCCATTCTACTGGTCAAACCAGAAGCGTCAATCATAGCTCCTCTCTCTTCCCATTATTTGCACCTGATTAGCACCCAGTTTAGTTGATTTTAGCTCCTTAATTTTAATTTTGTTTGTGTGTTTTTTAGTACTGGAGATTGAAACAACTAAGCTACATTCCCAGCTTTTTTTTTTTTTTTTTTGAGTTAGAGTCTCACTAAGTCACTAAATTGCCTAGGCTAAACTCTAATTCACGATCTTCCTGCTTCAGCCTCCCAGAGTGCTGGGATTACAGGCATGAACCATCACATCTGGCATTTCCTAAATATCTACTTTTCTCTACTTGAGCATCCCCGGTGGCTTTTTAAGGGGCTCACAAAAGCCTCCTAACTTGTTTTTCCAGCTCTGGACTTGCCTTGCTCCAATCCATTCTCCATATTTGGACAGAATAATTTTTCCAAAGTACAAATGTGAGTCTTTCTCCTGCTTGCATCCTTGCCATGGCTTCTACTTCCCCTAAAACAAAGTGTGAACATGGCTCTCTGATCTGGCTGTGCCCCCACCAAGAGCATCTGTCGCCAGTTCCTTCCTTGAAGTTCATTCCCTAGCCGTGCGATCTGGTCATGATCCTCCAAATACACCACACTCTCTCACCCCTGAACTTCAACAGGACGGCTCCTTTGGTCTCAAATGCATCTCCACTCCTCCCCTCCACTTGGCTTTCCAAGATCCTACTCTTTTTTATTTATTTTTTCAGCTATCAGCTTAGAAGTGGAAAGTCGTTGGTGACCCCTGGACTGGAGAGAGGTCTCCCACGTCCCACTGGTGACTCTCACCATAGTTCTCCCTTTGTCACTGTAGCACAACTATCTGTTTACTTGTGGGTCATTCCCAGCCAGGTGGCTCTTGGAAATCAGAGACTGGGTCTTCTTCACTTTATATCCCTGGAGTCTGAAACATACTGGTTCTCCAAAACAAGTTTTGAAAAAGAAAAGAAAATTTAAAAGCTTATTTACTAAAGGATAAGTTAATATGTAAATGACCAAATACCAAAATATACAGACCAAAGGAATATGGATATATAGTCACAAAACCATGATATATATTGTCTAATAGAAATGTGGTTAACAACTGAGTGCCTCTTAAATGTTAGCAGTACTGTAAGTACTTTGTATCTGTTAACTCAGTTGATATTCACAACATCCCTAAAAGGTAGGAATTAGTCCACACAGTTCTGGGTGTGAACAGAAGAGGGAAGTGCTGTTTCTGCTGTGAGTGGGTAGCAGTCAGTGCAGATTCAATTCAGAAAGGAAACGGATTCTTGGGAGGGAGGTGTGAAAGCCCTCGTTGTAGCTGAGGATGGATCCTGGGAAAAGTTGATTTTTTTCCCCTGGTACTTGAGCTTGAACCTAGAGTCTTTGTCTTCAGCTACATCCTCAGCATCACCCTGCTTTTAACTTTTGAGACAGGGTCTTGCTTAAATGATAAGTTGCCTAGGCTGGGCTCAAATTTCTAATCCTCCTGCCTCTGCTTCCGAGAGTTCTGTGATTATAGGCCTTCACCACCATGTTTGCCTTTGTTACTAACTTGTGATTGAAGAAAGGTTGAAGATTACAGGTGATCATCAGATTCAAGGTACTGAGAGGAATAGGAGAGGTGGAGGGTGGGTATGGGAAAGATGATCGGTGTACAGACCTGGTCAGGGGAAGGCTGGGTGAATTACAGACAAAGGGACCCAGCTGGATCTGAAATATTTTCCCAAGGAAATATTTCCTAGAACCATACTCAGTTTAGTCTCCTTGATTAAGGGAAAGATGAAGAGATTTTCTCTAAACATCAGTTATTTGGTTCCTCACACTGAAGAGGAGAATAGATGAGAAAGACAGATGCAAACAATCAACTGTACACAGTCCTTTTGGCTGAGTCTAGGAAGCCAGATGGGAACGAAACCTCACCCTGCTAAGGCTTGTCGAACTAGGCCACAAGGCCATGTAGGTAAGGTAGGAGTCTGTCTTGCCCACTGTGCCATACATACATGGTGCCTAATTCAATGCCACACCCACAGCTGCAGCTACAGTGTCTTCTTGGATGAATGAATACAAAATACTCAAAAGTCTTGTTTAGCTATTTTGACCAAAATTAAAGACACTGGCTTCATGGGTATGTGACCTGTGTGGTTTCACAGGGTCCCATGCACAGAAGGGCCCCTGTTTGACTTAATATTGCACCACCACTGATTTTAAATTCTCCACAATGTGGACACAGGGTCCCCTTTCTTGTTTTGAACTGAGCCCACATATCATGTCACCAACACTGGTTAAAAGCGACACACGAAGGATATTGTGGATACAAATGAATACCACATTATCCATAGAAAGTTGTCTTAAAAATATATGTTAGGCTTACCTGAAATGCTAGATCGTGGCTTTTCCTTCTTAAAATGTGGTTCATACTCTCTGTAGACAATTTTCTTAAAGGAAGGTATAAAAGGATTCAAGCTGGAAATAAAATACAAACCCTAATTTGAAAGATGTATACGACGCCTATTCGCATGACAAAATAGTAGATTCCTTACATCCTCAGATACCTGTAGAATAACTATATTTTATTGTATTTCAGAAACACAAGGTTTATAAATATAAAAAAATAAGTGAAACTAATGAAATAATTACTGTTTTCTTTAAAAGTTTGTTGTCATAAGCAAACATTCTTTCACAGATTTAGGCTGTCCTCATACTATTTCTCAGAATCCGTTTTCTAAAAAGGAACCTAAAAATCATAGTGTGAACTCAAACTTTAGCTTTTCAGTGACTAAAAATAAGAACAAATCATTTATAAGCAATATGTGTGCTATTTTCAGCTGATCTACCATATACAATTTTTTTTTTTAATGCTCAACTTTCAAAATACAATTTTAAGCTCCTGGAATTGATTAAACTTATCGGTACATTTTAGATATATGTAATGATCACATTCATCATAGGGAATTTGTACCTGCACATGATACATCTTGATTCTTTTTTCCCCCATTCCCCTACCCTCCATTCAATCTCTCATCCCCTCCTTATTTACAAAAGCTTTGTTTCTATTTTTCCTTTTCTTTCATTTTATTGTCTTTTCCCTTCCTTCTCCCCCCCCCACTTCCTGTACCCATTTGAACATTTTCTTCCTATTTCACTATATTTATTATATCATTTTGGTCCTTATTTACACTTTCAGTTTCTTACACCAGAAAAACAATGTGGTATTTACATATGCATGTCCAATCTATTTCACCTAAGAGGATGGTCTCTGGGTGCATCCATTTAGCTCTAAATGTCTCAAGTTTATGGCTAAGTAGTACTTCATTCTCTCTATATATAAACCACATCTTCTTTACCCTTTCGTCAGTTGATGGACATTTGGGCTGTTTCCAAGATTTAGCTATTACAAACTGCCACTATAAACATGGGTGTACATATATTGCTGTGGTACGATGTGGTATGATCTTTCAGGAAGGGGAATGGCTGGGTCAAATGGAACCTCTAGTTTTATTTTCTTCAGAAATCTCCACACTGATTTCCACAGTGGTTGCATCAGTCTACACTCCCACCAACAGTAGAGAAAGGCTCCTTTTTCTCCACAATCCCACAAGCATTTGTTATTGGTTGACTTCTTAATAATAGCCATTCTTTCTGGAGTGATGTGGAATTTCAGTGTTGTTTTCATTTGCATCTCTCTAATGACCAGCAATGTTGAACATTTCTACTTCTTCATCTGAGAAGTGTCTATTCATTTTTTATGTCCATTTTTGGATTGCATCTTTAAATTTGGAGGGTCTAATTTTGTTTGCATTCTTTATATATTTTAGATAGTAGTCCTTTTCTGAGGAGTAGCTGGCAAAAATTTTTTCCCACACTCTGGGTTGTCTCTTCACTCTGTCGGTGGTTTCTCTTGCCATGCAAAAGCTTTTTAATAGAATGAGATCCCAGTTGTTGATTCTTTGTGATAGCTCCTGTGTGTTTGAGATTTTGTTAATAAAATCATTGTCTACCAATCTCTTCAAGAGTTCTACCTAATCTAACTTCCAGCAGACTTAGTGTTTCTCTTTTAATGTTTAGATCTTTGATGTGTTTTGATTTTAGTTTAGTGCACGGTGAGAGATAAGAGTCTAGTTTTAATGGAAGATGAAGTAACTTTCTAAGGAGATACAGGTCATAAATAGCAGAGCCAATATTTCTTCTCCTGTACTTTGACCCAGGTAACCACTGTTTTATTCTCAATTTCTAGGTTGGATGGGGTTCAGAATCTTAATAACTATGGTAACCATGTTTCATAGGGGTTAAGGAAACACTTTCTGGCTTGGCGCCTTTGCCAGTGTTCTTATTTCCTTCCTAATTGGGTGAGCACTTGCTAATGCAGTGCGCTGTTATGAGCTATACACAGTCCCCATGTCATGTACGTTCCATCTTTTAATTTTTTTTCAGTACTGTGGGAGGAACCCAAGACCTTCACAGTTAACTACACCCCCAAGCCTTTTCTATTTTTATCTTTATTTTTCCAGTACCAGGGATTGAACTCAGGATGTTGCACTTGCAAGGCAGGCACAGTGCCATTGAGGTAAATCCCCTTTGCCAAGGGTAAACCTTTGGGGTTTTTTAATTTTTTTCAACTAGAACTGATCCTCCTGCCTCCCAGAGTTCTGGGATTGCAAGCTTGCATTACCATGCAGGGCTGGCTTTGTTCATCTTTAACTTTGTATCCTTTGACCTCCCCAGCTCCACCCCTACTCCCAGGTATAAATACAACATGCTACAAGGAAGACCCCCCCCCAAGGAGTTCAACGAGCAATATTAGTGTTGGAAAGAATGTCATTTTCTGCGTGGTTTTAGTTAGTGGAAGTTCCCTAAGGGCGTGGGTATCACGTAGATTATCGCCTTGAAATGCAATATTTTTAAAAAAATATTATTTATAAAAGGAGAAATTAATACCCTACAAAATAACCTAGTTCCAGTGACATTTTTAAAAGGATTAATGCTATACACAAAAAAAGACACTCAAAAAGATTATATTATTATTTTTGAGGGGGCAAATGGCTTTGGTTTTGTAATTCTAAAACAGGAACACATGTTGTTTCACAATCACTTAATCTGCAATGTTAAGTTTTTTTTAAAAATTGAGTCACTCAGTAGGAGTTTACCAATCAAAACAAATTAAAAAATAAAACTAACCAGAAATATTGAATAGGCCCTATGGTTTGGTTAGTTTCTGGGAAATCTTATTTTTAACCTTTCAATTAGAAAAATACAGTTTGTAACTCAAAGATAGTTCCACATCATCTAAACCTTCCTAGTTAATTGCCTTTTAATAGGGACTTTACCAAAATATCCAGGGAAAACCATATTCCAGGAAGCCATTAAAAGGAAAAAAAAATGAAAACCATATTAAACAGCCATGAATGAGTACTACTTCATTTTCAAAGTCATTTATAAGAGGCCATGGCAGTAGTTACTCAGTATCTGTGTATCATAAAGGGCACATCTTTACTATTAGAAGGTGAGCCTGAGTAGACAGAGACTAAAGGCTATGAAGTTAGAGGTCCCATGTAAATGTTAGACTCAGAACGCCAGAAGAGTTGTTCCTAGGAAAAGTTGTTCTAGTGCAGGAGGAGCTAGAGCCTGGTGCTTTTGAATCAATTAAGCATACTAACAGATTAAGCATACTAGCAAGGCAGCATACTAACAAAACCGTCTTGAAAACAAACTCTTGGAAAAGAGGCAGCATTTTACAAACCCAACTGGATCTTTTCTACATCTTTAGAGGGATGAACAATGGGAGCAGAGGCAAATGAGCAAGTCTAACGGGCGAAATAAAGCCGTCACGTATACTTCATTAACTGTGTATACTTACCTCAAATCGCTCCGTCAGGTCCGTCTGTCTGTCTGAGTGTCTGGGTGCAATTGCAAAGGGCCCCTTCCCTACCCGCTTCCCGTTACCTGGGGTCTGGGGGCTCCGGCCGGTAGGTCCAGGTCACTCCCTGCGCGGCCACGTAGAACTGCCGGAGGCCCCGCACCGGGCCCGCGTGGACGCCCCAGTCGGCC